GGCGAAACGGTCGCTTTTCAGGGAAGGAAAGAGGGAGACAGGGACGGGGAAGGGGAATGGGGGACTACGCATGACGTGCAGTGGCCCGTGCATTCCCAGTGACCCTCTATCCAACCACCCAGTCGTCGGACGAGGTGGGGAGGGCTCATTGCGTTTTCTTTCACAAATCCTAACCAGAGGGAAACCCTTAAAAAACAAAGAAATGCAAAACAATGAAAAGAAAAGACAAGAATGTCAAACAAAAAACACACGTAGAAAGACAAGAAAGTACAAGAAAGTCACGAAAAAAAGAAACAAAGCCAGAAAATAAGTTTAAAGAGAAAAATAAAGAATAACGTACACGAAATAACGGAAAGGACTTAAAGGAAGGGGGTGCCATAAACACAAATAGAGTGAACAAAGGACGGGATGTCAAAAAAGACAGGGGGTGCCATTAAAAGATAAAGACAAACAAAGAGATGAAAGAAAATAAAGAGAAAAACAAATGTAAACAAAGAGAACAACAGTGAGACAAACAAAGATATGAAAGAAAACAAATAGAGAAAAAGTGAAAGACAAAGAGAAAAACAGTAGGACAAAGAGAAAACAAGTCAAAGAAAAAAGGAAATAGATAGAAAGCAAAGTGAAAAGACAAGTAAGTCACGAAAAAAGAAAAAGAGGGAACCCAAGAAGTGGGAGGAGACAAGCACACTATAAAAGCCAAGACGGCACACAACACAGACACACTGAGCTCAGCCTGAAGAAGGCGAAGGAATGCCGAAACGTCGCGAAGAGCTCAGTAGATGCGCATTAACCCAAGATGGGCAATTTTTTGAACTGGGGCAGGGGTACCACCATCCTGTCCCACGGTGGAGAGTGCATCTCAGGGAACTGGTGCCCTGATCTTTTTTCAACACCTTAACCCCAAGTTGTCAGAAAACGATTTCATGACAGAGAGGGATGAGATCCATTGGACCAGAACTACAGCGAGAGCCATGTTTAGACACTGGGTCTCGTTTTTAAACTTGAGATCCCCTTAAGCCTGGCTCAGGGGGGGCAGAAGGGGCTCCAGCCCCTTGTGTCACAAAATGTGGTCAATCTGGCCAAAAATTTCACCCTTACGAGGGCACAATTTGCTGTGTTAAACAGAGGCCTGTCTTTTGTGCCAATGATTGGACTTCACAAACATCAAAAGACAACACTTCAATTGGATGTTCAGACTTACCATAGGCGTATCAAATTAGCGGCCTACTTCAAGGGCTCACAGAACAGAGCGATTCCACCATTTGTGGGAACATCTGCTTGGGAACCGCCACTAGACAAGTTGCCACCTGAGATTGGTTTGTTAGTTGATAAGGATAAAAACATGTTGAATTCCGGGTTTACAGTTGTTAAAAAAGCGCCAAACTTATCAGTACAAGAGGTGAAAGCCTTGAGAGAATTGATGGGCAACAAGACTATTGTCATTAAGCCAGCTGATAAGGGGAGCGCAGTGGTTATCTTGTCTAGAGAGCAGTATATTACAGAGGTTGAAAGACAGTTGTTGGATAATATTTATTATAAAAAGTTAAAAGAGCCAATTTATTTACAGACTATCCCTATGGTGAGTAGGATTTTAGATGACCTTTACAATAACAGGGTAATAAATAAACATCCATGTTTACGCGTGAGTCTGGAGTTAGAGCAGTTAGCCACGACTCTATGAAGCACATCAGGCTGCACTCCCTGTAGCTCCTCTGATGTCGGGTAAGAGCCACCAGCTCGTCTACTTTATTGGGGAGAGATCTCACATTGCCCATAATAATAGATCGAATCGCTGGCTGATCCTCCTAACTTTACTGCAACGCCCGATCCCGGCCCAAATACCGCATCTCTTCCTCCTCACCTCGCGGGGGATGTTGGCAGGGCAGCGGAGGCCCCAAGGGCTAACAGCTGATCCCTGCTGTAAACAATGGGAGGTTGGACCTCCACGCGCTCTCCGGACACAGATGCCGTAAAAAATGTAATAAAGAACACCATTGTCCATAAAATTCTGAGCTCCATTGTGGGGACAGCAGTCCACAATAGAAAAAAATAATAACACAAGAACACAAAAACAACAAAGAAACATATATCAAAGGGAAAAAAGGACTCGGCCAGCTCGGAGCGACGCCGGAAGTTACTTTGTCACTATGTTCACAAAGTTCTATACAAAGAAATGAATTTTCATCCTGTCCTGATAAAAAAATAATATCAAATTAACATCAATTTAACATCAACATCGCCATCATGTGGCCAAATGCCTGTACTAACAGTTACCATGCAGTACAGTAATGATGATCCAGGAAAATGTGCTAATCTATATGTTCTTATGTTAAACCATGTAAATGAATAGGCCATGTAGCCATGTAAAATGAGAAGTTCTTGTGACTTAAAGTATTTGACATTAGAAAGAGAATAAGCTGCTGAGTTAGTTACAAATATACTGTATTATCATTTGATAAAATCAGCTCAAGCTGCTCATGTGCAGAGGATATGACTGGCTTGAGCTCTGGATAATCAATAGTTGTTCTCCATGATTTACTCCTATGTCATGTTTGTGTAATTAAAGGCTGTCAAGCTGCCTTCATCTGGTTTTTACTGCACTGCAAACTTCTTCAGTTATGTTTCAAAGAACTGAAGGTTTTCCCTCTCAGAATATTTGTGTAAATATCAGTGTGCACAGAAGACCACTCGTAGCCAGGCTGACAAAAAGTCAGAGCTCTATTGAGCCAACCATCCCTGTAACGTTAACTAGTAATGACTTCATGAACTTCTTCACAAATAAAATTTTTATCATTAGAGAAAAAATTACCAATAATCAT